TTAATAAGCCATTAATTTTTTATTCAGGTTTTAGCGTGATCTAGTCTTAAATATTTTTTCAGATATAATATATATTTATATTGATACAATCAATATTAGACATATTTTAAGAAGGGTAAATTATATCGATAGTCCTCGCATTTTGTCTTTTGTGTCAATTTAGTCTCTATAATTTCAATTAGTTTGATTTTTACCTCTAATTTTAGATTTTGTATTAATTTGGTCCAATTGATAAAGCCGGTTAAGATTTTTGAAAGAAAATAGTTATTGAGTTGGTTGAGATTAACTTATTGAGTTGAACAAGTTTATAAGAGATGCTACTCATGTGTGTATTTTTAATAAATAAAAAAAAAAACTAGCAATTATAACAATTGGACCAAATTGAGACAAAATTATAAATTTAGGGTCAAAATTGAGCAAATTAAAATTGCAATGATAAAAATAATACAAGAGTTAAATTATAGGGGTTACCAATGTAATTTATCCTTTTAAGAATAAGTACATAATTTCTTAATTAATTTTGAAATTGTTAATAAATATACGAAATAAATATGTACATATTTCCTATTTTTGTTATAATTTTTTTAAAAAATATATTTACTAATTAAAAATTAAATAAATAGATAGGTTTACTAACTCATGGATTGGACATGAACTAGACGATTTTCTGAAGATTAGGTTTAAATCAAGAATTACTGGCAAAAAAAATCGATTTGAACTAAATTTTCTTAGCTACTTTTTAGTATTTAATCTAATATTAGAACCTCCAAATTAGCTCATATCAGTCACGAACTGATAAACTATGATATAATTTAAATATAAAATTTAAATTTATTAGGACTAGAATATGACCTACAATTTAGGGTAGCTTTATCTTAAATAAATTTTTTTATAGATAAATATATATAAATATTCATTTAATTGTTTTAAACATGAATATATAGTGTTTTTTTTTTTTAAACTATAGTTCAAACTTTTTAATTAGTATGCATAAAATAAGTCCATATTTCTTATTTTTATTATAAAAAAATATTTACAAATATTTATTTACTAATTTAACAAATAGATAGGTCAAATGATTCATATAAGTTGGGAACAGAACATGACAATTTTTAATGATTGGCGTAAATCTAATGTTAAACCCAAATTTAATATCACAATTGAATCCTAATTCATTGTTACGTAAATCCTATAACATAAGACAAATTATAATTTTTAGATTTCACAAAACATGAAAAAAATTACTATATTAACAAATGAAATTTACCACTATCATATGATAAATTAAATTTACGAAACTCATAAGACGAAATGTATTTATATTTTATCATAAATAAAATTTTTGTGATTTTCTTTTTACCACTTAAATTATGACATATATTTGTTATTAAGAACTTAGAGCACACAATTAATGACATAAGAATTAAAAAAAAAAAATTCTCTCATATGCTACTGTGATAAAAATGAATAAAATTTAATTGATTCTAGGGTAAATTACAAATACACCCCTCGAGGTTTGCTTAAAATGTGGTTTGAAAAATTACAAATACCCCCTTATTAGAATTTTTAATTTGACAAAATTAACTAAAAAAATAAAATTCATAATTACTCTCTACCAAAACCCAAACCCATCCCTATAGGTTTAGTGTCGTAACCGGCCAGTAACCCTTGGATTACTAAAGGCCTCTGAATAGTTTATCATATATTAAAGGGGCTGCAGAAGCAAATATATAAAACATACATAGTCCATTGAGCTGTGTTGATGTACATGGAACAGAACTTTCAAAAACTTTTATATATGTACATGTGACGTTATAAATACAGTAGTCTTACGTCTTCCATTTACACAAATAAAGTCGAAAGGGGACTTAGCCCGAAGTACAGAGAAAAAGAAAACTTGTTCATATGCCAAAAGAAAACAAGTCTTATACATTCACAAAACATGACCACATGGCTTCCGGAACCTTTTCGGGAAGCACAAGGGTTGGTTGACCAAAAACCCAAACTCTAGGCCATCAACTCTGGGCCTAGTCACCTACATACATAGTATAAACAAAGTAAGCGAGAGTCCAATGAATAATAACAGAGTAAAAGGTTTTAATTGAATGATGTCCCATATCAGACTCGAAAATCAGAGTTCATGTCAGAAACAGATACATATTTTTATATAGAAATCAGAGTTCATGCTTAATCATACGTGGTATATCCATTAGTGCTAACAGAACAGATACAGAACATATGGTGCTTATAAGTAACCAGTTCCATAAAGGAACCTCTGGATCCGGGTAATAGATAATAGATATGCTAAGCTCCATGTCGGAGCCTCCGATACGGGTAACAGATTATAGATATATTAAGTTCCATAATAGAACCTCCGATACTGGGTAACAACTAACAGATATGCTAAGGACACCACGAATACATTTCAGATTTGGACAATCATTCATTGTACAAAACATAACATTTCAGAAAACATATCTTATTTCATCATATAGAAAATAAATAAAGTTGAACATAGTTTTACTAAGTTATTAATCACAAATGGCTCCGAAAGCAGACAGATAGAACAGACAAATCAGATGGCTACGACCCGTGACCTACACAAACATAACAGATACACAGATTGTAATACATACTCGGATCATACTTAATTTATTGCATTTCGTTCTTAGTGTGTTTCCATGTCTTATCCTCATTATTATATTTTAATCGTGGCCTGGGAATGCTTAGGATGCAATGAGGATGCCGAAATGAGTTTCAAAACACTTAGTCATTTTGCTGAAAATAGGGTCATCGCTCGAATGCAACTTCTCTCGCTCTAGCGGTGGGTCAAAAGTAAAGGTGGCCGCTCGAGCACAACTTTGGTCGCTCGAGCGGTCTGTAAACTCTGCAAAAGTATTGGTTTTGTGATTTTTTCGATCGACGCACGCTCAACGGTTGCTCGAGCATGAGATTGAGATCCTTGCTCGAGCACAACTCTTGTTGCTCGAGCGATCTACAAAAATGTATAAACTTCTAGGAGCTTGCATTTTATGCTCGAGCCAACTTTTGATCGCTTGAGCGAAAGTGCAAAACACAGAGTGGTCGTTCAAGCGCAGGATCTGTCACTCGAGCGGAGAAGTAGAATTCTAGGCATTTCCAGATTTGTTCCTAAACTCAAAATTCAAACTCAAAGTTGCAAATCATACTCTTTTGGGCCAAAAGCTTGAGGAAACACTTGTAAGCTTATAAAACATTATGAATTAAAGATCATATCGTAAAATCAAGGCCCAAAAGCTTGCTAATTGTGCAAAACAAAACTCAATTCTTTGAAAACATAGCATGCATGCATTATCTTGACTTCAAAGCTCCCAAAATATGATCAATTGATATAAAATGGTATCAAACAAGATGAATTCTCAAAATAGGTATGATGGACACATGCATGAGAGGATTCTTTGAAATTAAACTCAAATTGTGATAAAATGGACATGCATGCATGGTATCATCTATATTCCTTCATTCTAGCTCACTTCTCATATTAATCTACTCAATTCTCTTGAATTCACATGTTATCTAACTCAATGTCATAAATCTAAAGTTAAATTCTTACCTAGAAGCCTTAATTCCCTTTGAATCTTAGCAAGTCTTACTCAATACCACCAATTTTTTTTTCAATTTACCTAGCAATTCCTAGCTTGATCTCACTTCTTCTTTTCCTTCTCTCTCTCTCTCTCTCTCTCTCTCTCTCTCTTTCTCTCTCACGTTTGGTGACTTAAAAGATGAGGAAATAGAAGTGTATGGTTAAGTCTAGAGCTCACTTAGCGTTATATGGGCTCAATTAGCATTAGTTAATTAAGTTGAGTTAAGGCTAATCTATTGTTATTATTTTATTCTAATTTAATCAGTCTGAATTGAATTTCTGTCAAACCTACCATAATTTCCTAAAAATACCAAATTATACATATACTAAGTCAATCTCGTGATCAGATGCCAATTAGGCCTTCAATTTGCAGAACAAAACAGAAATACAAATAGATATTCCTACCACAGACAGATGTAAACACAAATAATGATATACATATGCAATTAATTCAGAATTTCATCTTAATTACTCATTAGGCATAATTAATCATGGTTTATCGGCTAATCATCGGTCAGGGTTATTACAATCTTCCCTCCTTAAAGAGTTTGGTCCTCTAAACTCGAATTACCTTCGTTTTGGAAGAATATTGAATCCAACGGAAACAAATCAGGGTATCTCCTCATCATATCTTTCTCCATCTCCCAAGTTGCATAGGTCCCTTCGTGGTTTTGCCAATCAACTTTTACCAACAGTATTTCTTTATTCCTCAATCTTTTAATTCGACGGTTCACAATTTGAATTGGCCTCTCTTCGTACGTATAGTCATCTTTCAAGAGCACATGAGTTGGTTCAATCACATGGTGCGGATCTCGCAAATATTCTCGAAGCATTGAAACATGAAAAACATTGTGCATATGTTCCATGACCGGCGGTAAGGCTACCCGATACATCACTGGATTGATCTTCTCAAGGATTTCATATAGTTCAACATATCTAGGTGCCAACTTGCCCTATACACCGAACCGAGTTTGCCCTTTCATTAGAGTCACTTTGATAAACACGTGATCCCCAACTTCATATTCTTGATCTCTTCTTCGGACATCTGCATAAATTTTTTGGTGGCTCTGTATAGTTTTCAATCTCTACTAAATCAATTTCACATTTTCGGTCGTTTCTTGCACCAATCCCGGTCCCAACAAAGGCCAATTACCAACCTCGGCCCAACATATCGAAGAACGACATTTGCTCCTAAACAAAGCCTCATAAGGAGCCATACCGATACTCTAATGGTAGCTATTGTTATACACAAACTCTGCCAGTGGTAAATAGACCTCCCAATTGCCTTAAAAGTCTAACACACACATCTGTAACATGTTTTCCAATGTTTGAATAGTTCGTTCAGATTGGCCGTCTGTCTGCGGGTGATAAGCATTACTTAATCACAGTTCAATTCCCAAAGCCTGTTGTAAACTTTGATAAAATCTTGACGTGAACTTCGAATCTCTGTCAGATACAATGGATACTGGCACACTGTGTAACCTCACAATCTCATTCATATAAATGTTAGTCAACTTATCCGCATTATAAATAGTTTTAATAGGAAGGAAATTGACAGACTTAGTTAAACGGCCAATAATAACCCAGATAGAGTCCATACCTTGAGAGGAGCGAGATAGTTCAACAATGAAGTCTATTGTAATATGCTTCCATTTCCATTCCGGTATTAGAAATGGCTAAAGTAATCCAGCGGGTCGCTGGTGTTCAGCTTTAACTTGTTGGTAGTGCAAACATCTAGCCACAAAATTAGCAATGCTCTTCTTCATTCCAGGCCACCAGAAATTCTGTTTTAAATCATGGTATATCTTTGTGTTTCCTGGGTGCATAGCAAATTTAGAATTGTAGGCTTCAGTCATAACTCGTTTCTTTAAGTCAGAACAATCCGGTACACAAAGTCTATTATGAAATTTTAGCACACCATTTTCAATCACAAATCCCGGCTTCAGTTTTGAGTCAATTTCATCCATAATCTTCTTCAAAGACTCATCATCAAGCTCTTTCTCTCTAATTTCTTCAATGATTGCAGGTTGAGCGGAAATGGCAGCTAGGATTTCATCCTGTTTACACAAAACTACCTCAATTTCATTTCGTTCCAAATCACACAATAATTTTTTCTGGCTGGTGAGCAAACATGACAAATTGCCCATGGATTTGCGACTCAAAGCATCCGCAATTGTGTTCGCCTTCCACAGATGATACAAAATTTGCAAATCATAGTCTTTTATTAACTCAAGCCACCATCTTTGTCTCATGTGTTAATTCTTTTTGCGTAAAGAAATATTTCAAACTTTTATAGTCGGTATACACCTCGCAAGTTACAGCATACAGATAGTATCGCCAAAATTTTAGAGCAAACACCACGGCTGCTAATTCAAGGTCATGTGTTGGATAGTTCTTTTTAAGTGGTCGGAGTTGCTGAGAAACGTATGCAATTACCTTCCCATTCTGCATTAACACACACCCCAAGCCTTCGTAGGAAGCATCATTATAAATCTGAAACCCATTGGTTTTGTTGGGCAATGTCAGAATTGGTGCAATTACTAGTCTAGTCTTCAATTCTTGGAAGGCTGATTCTGCTGATCCGTCCAATCAAAGGGTACATTTTTCTGGGTCAATTGTGTCAAAGGCATAGGAAGTTTTGAAAAGTCTTTCACAAATGTGTGATAATAACTTGCAAGCTCTAGAAAGCTTTAGATTTTGGACATATTGGCTGGTCTTGGCCAGTCTACAATGGCCTCAATTTTCTGTGGATCCATTGATATGCCGTCTTTGTTGATTACATGACCCAGAAATGCTACACTGTCAAGCCAAAATTTACATTTGGAAAGTTTTGCATGCAATTTCTTTTCTCTCAGGAATTGTAAGGTAATTCTCAGATGGTTTTCATGTTCTGCCATGCTTTTGGAAGAAATCAGTGTATCATCAATAAATGCAACAATAAATTCATCTAGAAATTATTTGAACACCCTATTCATTAAATCCATGAACGTCGCAGGTGCATTAGTTACCCCAAATGACATTACCAAAAATTTATAGTGCCCGTATCTAGTTCTGAATGCAGTTTTCTCTATGTCTTCTACCTTGACCTTTAACTAGTGATACTTGGTTCTAAGGTCATCTTAGAGAACACTTGTGTTCCCTGGAGTTGGTCAAACAAATCATCTATTAAGGGTAGTGGGTATTTGTTCTTCACAGTTACTTTGTTCAATTCACAATAGTCTACACATAATCTCAAGAACCCATCGTTCTTTTTAACAACCAAAATTGGAGCACCCCACGGTGAGGTACTCAGATGGATAAATTTCTTGTTTAGAAAGTTTTGTAATTGAGTTTTCAATTCTTTCAATTCAGTGATTGACATTCGATATGGGGTTTTAGAAATTGGTTGTGTTCCAGGAATTACATCAATGGTGAATTCAATTTCTCTATCAATTAAGTCCCCTAGCAATTCATTCGGAAACATATCGAGAACTTCACAAACAAACAATAGGAATGGTTTTCATATTAGGACTAGTAGAAGTCTCAGTCAAAACACAACACATATACCCCCTATATCCCTTCCTAAGCAATTTAACAACTTTCATAGCAGAAATCAAGTATGGGGGAGGAACTACCCCATTCCCAGCAAACACAAACTCGGGTAACCAGGGTGAACGAAATACAACAAATTTATTCACATAGTTAACAGATGTACAGTACTTCATTAACCAGTTCATACCCAATATACAGTCAAAATAATCAATTCCTAAAGGCAATAAATCCACATATAATGTCATGCCACCAATGCATACCATAGAACCTCTAGATGGCATAGATACAGATAACAAATAATTCATGGGTTCTAGTGGTCTAGTCGGTTTTCAAGAGAAAGCATGTGATACGAAAGAATGCGTAGAACTAGAATCTATCAATATACATGCATTTTGAGCACAAATAGGGAGTATACCTGACACCATAGCTTCGATGTTCTGTACATCACCAGGCACTAGGGTAAAAACTCGGCCTTGTTTCAAGGTTTCTCTCCTAATGTTAGCTCTCGTATTTGTTCTAGCTGCAAAAGCGGATCCGGTTGAACTTGATGTAGGACAGTTGGCATTATCAGATCCAAGTGGGCAATCTCTCACTACATGGCCTGTCTTGCCGCATCGGAAACAAGCACTGGATGCGCGGTAACATACACCCCTATGTTTTCTTCCACATTAAGAACAAACTGGTATAGACTCACTACTCAGAACAAACTGTCGGCAGTTTCATCTTCATAAACTTCTGAGTTAAATTTATAATGTCATTATTATCCGGTTCAACTTGGACCGGAGGAGGCGGGGGAGGCAGAGGTTATTGTCTTTGCTGCTGTATCATTGCTTCAGTTAGGGCTATGAGCATTTGTTCTATTCAGCTCCTGCGAGCCTCAAAAGATTCAGCTGTTCCATCACTTCTTGTATTTTCCATTGCTATAGGTAAACAGGACAATAATAAACATAGACAAATAGTTCTTTTTACAGTGTTCAGAACATTCAATCTTAATTCATTCATTTCAATTTCATGTGTTCATGTTCAGATTCAGTTTTCACATTTACAAAATAAATACACACTCACATATGCAGATGAAATGTCCGTAATTGTTTTCTAGGACATCTCATAGCTCGTATGGACTTGTGTGTGTGGTATAACTCGTGCTCTGATACCACTCTATCACGACCCAAACTCGTTTCTATAGATTTAGCGTCGTAATTGACCAGTAATCCTTGGATTACCAAAGGCCTCTGAACAGTTTATCACATATTAAAAAGGCTGCAGAAGCAAATATATAAAATATACATAGTCCATTGAGTTGTGTTGATGTACATGGAACAAAACTTTCAAAAACTTATATATATATATATATATATATATACATGTGACGTTATAAATATGGTAGTCTAACATCATCTATTTACACAAATAAAGTCAAAAGGGGACTTAGCTTGAAGTATAGAGAAACATAAAACTTGTTCATATACCAAAAGAAAACAAGTCTTATACATTCACAAAACATGACCACATGGTTTCCGGAACCTCCTCGGGAGGCACAAGGGTTGGCTAACCAAAAACCCAAACTTTAGGCCATCAACTCTAGGCCTAGTCACGCGTTTGGTGACCTACATACATAGTATAAACAGAGTGAGCGGGAGCCTAGTGAATAATAACAGAGTAAAGGGTTTTAATTGAATGATGTCCCATATCAAACTCGAAAATCAAAGTTCATAGCAGAAACAGATACATATTCTTATATAGAAATTATAGTTCATGTTTAATCATACGTGGTACATCCATTAGCGCTAACAGAATAGATACAAAATAGATGTAGAACATATGGTGGTTATAAGTAACCAGTTCCATAAAAGGAACTTTCAGATCCGGGTAATAGATAATAAATATGCTGAGCTCTATGTTGGAGCCTCCGGTACGGGTAACAGAGTATAGATATATTAAGTTCCATAATGGAACCTCCGATACCGAGTAACAGCTAATAGATATGTTAAGGATGCCACAAATACATTTTAGAAATTGGACAATCATTCATTATACAGAACTTAAAATTTCAAAAAACAAATCTTATTTCATCATACATAAAATAAATAAAGTTAAACATAGTTTTACTAAGTTATTACTCATAGATAACTCCGAAAGCAGACAGACAGAACAGACAATCCAGATGGCTACGGCGCATGACCTGCACAAACATAACAGATACACAGATTGTAACATACACTCAAATAGTACTTAACTTATTGCATTTAATTCTTAGTGTGTTTGCACGTCTTATCCTCATTATTATATTTTAATCGTGGTCTAGGAATGCCTAAGATGCAATGAGGATGCCAACATGAGTTTCAAAACACTTGGTCATTTTTACTGAAAACAGGGTCCTTGCTCGAGCGTAACTTCTTTTGCTCAAGTGGTAGGTCAAAAGTAAAGGTAGTCGCTCGAGCGGTCTGTAAACTTTGAAAAAGTGCTGGTTGTGTGATTTTTTCGCTCGATGCACGCTCGACGGTCGCTCAAGCGTGAGACTGAAGTCTTTGTTCGAGCGCAACTCTTGTCGCTCAAGGGGTTTGCAAAAATGTATAAACTTCTGGGTTCGAGCCAACTTTTGGTCGCTCGAGCGGAAGTGCAAAACACAGAGTGGTCACTCGAGCACAGGATCTGTCGCTCGAGTGAAAGAGCGGAATTCTGGGATTTCTAGATTTGCTCCTAAGCTCAAAATTGCAAATCATACTCTTTTGGGCCAAAAACTTGAGGAAACACTTGTAAGCTTATAAAACATTATGAATTAAAGATCATATCGCAAAATCAATGCCCAAAAGCTTGCCAATTGTGCAAAACAAAACTCAATTATTTGAAAACATAGCATGCATGCATTATCTTGACTTCAAAGCTTCCAAAATATGATCAATTGATATAAAATGGTATCAAACAAGATGAATTCTCAAAATAGAGGTACGACAGACACATGCATGAGAAGATTCTTTGAAATTAAACTCAAATTGTGATGAAATGGACATGCATGCATGGTATGATCTATATTCCTTCATTCTAGCTCACTTCTTATATTAGTCCACTCAATTCTCTTGAATTCACATGTTATCTACTCAATGTCATACATCTAAAGTTAAATTCTTACCTAGAAGCCTTAATTCCCCTTGAATCTTAGCAAGTCTGGCTCAATACCACCAATTTCTATTAATTTCCCTAGCAATTCTTAGCTTGATCTCACTTCTCCTTTCCTTCTCTCTCTCTCTCTCTCTCTCTCTCACGTTTGTTGACTCAAAAGATGAGGAAATGAAAGTGTATGGTTAAGTCTAGAGCTCACTTAGCCTTATATGGGCTCAATTAACATTAGTTAATTAAGTTGAGTTAATGCTAATCTATTGTTATTATTTTATTCTAATTTAATCGCTCCGAATTGAATTTTCGTCAAACCTACCATAATTTCTTAAAAATTCCAAATTACACATATACTAAGTCAATTTCGTGATTGGATGCCAGTAAGGCCTTCAATTTGCAAAACAAAACACAAACACAAACAGATATTCCTACTGTAAACAGATAGAAACACAAATAATGTCAAATACATGCAATTAATTCAAAATTTCATCTTAATTACTCATTAGGTATAATTAATCATGGTTTATCGGCTAATCATAGGTCAGGGTTATTAGACTTTCCTATATAATAATAAAATTACCTAAATTATTAATTGAAACATATTTTT